AATGCAAGAAAGATAGTCTTCTTTGCAAAATTTTGCAAAACAATTAAATTACGAAATTAATCCGCAAAGAGGTTGCCTATTTATATTGTAAACTTGCCCAGTTTATTCTCGGCTTCAATTAAATCGTGGCTAAGCTCACAAGTTGCGCAGTTATAGAGGTACTATTATCTGCATGAAATTTGACTCACAAACCGCAGTCTCCCTAGTGGTACTGGGTCGACATAACTCGACCCAAGTTGAAAGCTTTAATTACGTGGACTGAGTTGTTCACGCAGGTGACTCCTTAATTACAGGGACGAAATTGAGCTGCCCATTCAACTGACACGTTTGCAAACGGATTATCATGACCTATATCCAAACCTTTGTAAAGAGGCTCGTGATTATGAAGCTTCCATTGTTGAAAGCACACACGTCGACAATGATGGTGATTAAAAAATAACTTGAATCGTGAATAATTAATGCGACACACAATAGTTGGGAATTCCAGTATTCATCTTTGACATACCTGCCTATACAGCAGAAATGGTAACCTATATTTTTGAATTTAGTACTACAGAGGAGTCCTTACTTGCCATTGTCAGCAATGAAACATCAAGGAACTTATTCAAACAAGACATGACAGCAACAGCTTTGTCTCTCTGTCTGTCTTTCCAATCCTAATTAGAGGTAAAATTGATTATTACTTCAGACTTAAGCGCTAGCAAATTGTGTTAGGTGTACTAATTAAAAAACTTAATCTATTTACTTGAGAAGCCTTTGACGGTAAATAATCTAGAAAATTGCTTCGATTATTAAAATTATGCCTTAGAATGAAGTTTTATATAACATTGGTAAGTTCAATAACAATATAGATGAGTCTCCTATTGAATAGTGTTTGGAATTGGTGGAGTGTGAAGATATCAGAGAGGCACAATGGCTACATATACGAATGTTATTAAAGGTTTTAAAGGAGAGATACTGATTTACAGTAAACAAGCAATATTCACTAATAAAATTACTGACATTCTATATATTTTTTTATGACATAATCTATGCAACAAATCTGATTATTGTTATGGTATAACGAGCAGACGGATAGGGTAAACAATCGTCGCCGCCCATGGACACCTGAAACACCAGAGGCATTACAAGTGCGTTACCGGCCTTTTGGGGATTAGGAGTTTGAGGATCGTTGGGGATTCAGGAATTGGGGAGATTGGGGAAGGGGAGGGTAATTGGGCCTCCGGTAACCTTACTCACACGACGAAACTCAACGCAAGCGTTGCTTCACGTCGGTTTTCTGTGAGGCCGTGGTATCACTCCGGTCGAGCCGGCCCATTCGTGCCAAAGCATGGCTCTCCCACACTTGAAAAAACACAAGTCAAACTTGAAGACTAGTTTATTTAATAATATCCACCATAATTATTGGATAAAACTTTAGCTTTACACTATAAGCGTTTAACGGGTAAGGAAATTAGCATTCAAACAGGGAACTGTTCCAACAAGTGAAACTGTTTTGGAGTTAACGGGTGCCGCTTTGTCGAGATAACAAACGGAATTGTTATGATGCAGGATCAGACTTTGATGTAGTTAAATAATCCAAATGTTTTATTTAACATGCTCGCTTAATATAAACAATTGACTAGTACATTTTAATGTCACTTATCTATGAATATTTTACAGCTACATTACAGTTACATACCTAATAGAAAATAGTTGCCTGACAGTAGTTGGTTGCGAAGAGCCGAAGATCAAGCAGTGTGTTATTTCGACGATGTTAAAATAGGATAGGCCAGGAGAAAACACATTTGAATAAAGTGTTTGCGATAACTAAGTAGGTATAGGTAATATTATGTCTTTAAAAGTTATATAAAAAAAGAAACGTTGAAATAAGTAGATTACTCGCTTAGGTCTCCGAAAGATCGTATAAGAACTAAGCGCTCAAGTATTTACGGTGGGATCAACCTGATGGCCATCTTAATGCCGGTCAGATTGGAGCCAATATTTATACGCTAAGCTTCGAAATGCTTTATAGATTGCTACCCAATCCTTGTGTAAACAAAACTATTAATAAGAAACTCTACAGAAAGATTCTTACAAAAATATCCCGGTTTATCAACAGTCCTGCGTAAAATAAATCTATTGGGTAGCTAGATGTCTCCCGCGACTTTTGCTCTATATAATGGTAGCAAATAGGCGCTCACATATTTGCTATTCCGCCTACGTCTGCCTGTTTGAACAGCCAATTGACTCGTAGCAATACGTTTTGCTTTTGGTACTTCAGGCTTGTACGCGCTTCAGCTATTTAATAGGGACACTGCGCTACGCTGCGACATGTGATTCATGTCATACATCGCTTAGGTATGTTTCAATTTTTATCTCGAAATTTCCAGTCTGTCTCTTTTTGCAATTTCAAAAAATTTTAACTTGCTAAATAGTATACTAATGTAAATCCAGGTCTAGCTGCTTTAAGATACAACGAATCTCTTAGTTATAAAAATTGTAACAGTTACGATTTAGCATTTTTACAAGGTACTTAAAGTCCTCTTATAATTAAATTATTCTTAAAGTGCTCTTGCAATAAATTATTAGTGTCTTAGATCCAGTAGATAAAAATGTTCTGTTAAGTAATTTATAACACGCAAGCCACATCTATGTACGTAAATATCAGAATTAGTGCAACGAACAAAACTTGCTCGATGAGTTGCGTGACATTTACCTTTCGACGAATGTGTCACGTTTTCACGATAAATTCGAATACTCCAATTTGTTTTGTTCTAATATTGGCGCCCAAAGGCATAAAACCATTGTTTTATGTAGGGAATTCGTACACGATATGCTGTGGTATTGTATTTCAGTAAAGTATAAATCTTATTTTTTTTAAGATGATATGTATATATTTTTAGAAGCTCTATGTTTACATATCCACAACAATTTTACAATTTTAAGAATAAACCAGCCTGGGTTTTGTTAAATTCCATGGTTTTAGAGCCCGAGAGACATTCAAGTATGGACGTACTAAATTTTCACACAAATTAAAAAGGTTGTAGCGTCGAAGCCGCATTATTTCGGCCCGTCCATCCCTCGTGAATCCAATTTGCGGCCCCGGGCGCGACGTCTCTTGTAATGGGATTTCGGCCTCGTTCTAAAAAGGCTATTTACACATTTCAACTACCTCATAATAAGCTATTAGCTGCTTGCAAACAAAACACGAGCACTGTTGATCTTTAATTACTTATTTGAGAAACTGAGTTACAAGTCAACTTGATGGAGTTCACAAATTGAATTTCCTATTAAAAAGGGGAATAAATATACAACTTGCAATTACCAAAGTACATTAATTTCTCTTTAAAAACTTGTACTAAAATTTGAAGTGTAGGTATTTGGAAAAAATCACATAACGCAATACGTTTAAGTGAAACTAATTTAAAAAACTGATTTCCAAGTCAGTTTAATTAAGCTCGGAAATTAAACGTGGAAGTTGTCCCGGAACGAATCAATGGAGAGAAAAATTCTTGATTGGACTGAGAAGTTTTTTAATAGGCGAGTTAATCAACAGGAGCATTTAGTGAGAGGTTTTCTGTTACATGCAATCGTTTGCCAGAAGCTCTAGTCGATCGAATTGTGGAATTAGCAGTGTCTGGTTGATTTACATTCAGTTACATTAAGGGTATTTTATATCCAGGTATCTTCTGCTGGGTAATTACTTTTAAGAGATAGAGCGTCCCCAGGTTCGATTGTATTAAATGTTTCAAATGACTAAACGTCCTTGCCGAGGTAATTCTGAGTGACAAATGAGCGGTTGAGCACCGGCTGCGTCTTCAGCCGCGTCCGTCACGTGCTCTCAGTGAATAAAATACGTTCCAGTCAGCTGGTCTGTCTTACCCACCCACAACTAAACTCAGGATGACAAATCTTACTCCGCATGCAAATCTCACGGCCTCGTCTTGAGCGACATTTACGATGTTTACTGAACTAAATTATATTTTTTTCATGTCTTGGATACAGCTCCGGTTAAATGGGACAATATAACGACGAATTCATGTTGTTTCAGAGCTAATACTGTTGTATTGAGCAAGTGTGGTATTAATGCTCAAACCTTCTTCGTGTGAGACTCTTCTCAGCTTTTGGTCAGCTGTGGCCACATTAGGGTGTTGATAATGATGACGAATATAATAAGAAGAGTTCTTACATCATCACACACATCACATTTTTATGTGTAAAGTTGTAAAAATGAGTCATTGTCCCGTGGGCCTAGCACGCGGACGGGAAGAGCGTCTTATCCGAAAAGCGTGGACGCACGCTGAATCACAAAGTAGTAAATCAGTTCATTGTTGTGAACGACTGAATATTCAGTTACCCACGGTATTTTGGTGAATAACATTTGCATCTAGATAAGTCTTCGAAAGTGATCGCATGACCCATTCAGTCGAGTGTCTTAAAGAAAATGTCTCTTAAAAGTTTTCTAGGTTAAACGTATACTGTGAATTCCAAATGAATATCTAGAAAAGAAGGAACGATAGATACAGAAATGTTACTTTATTTTCGAGTGAGTTTGAATACTAGATACTTAAAAATATATGTTTAATGAGGTCCCTCGACACGACCGAGAACCGTGGCTGCGGCACAAAGGTCCTCGTGCATTAGCGCGTAGGAACCCGATGTTTACTCAGCGTTACTTTGTGTTTGTCCAACAGGCTTTGTTGGCCCTGCCGCTTCTCTAACCTGTTGGGCTCTTTGCATTTATCTACACTCTCTGAACGAGTTTTTGGTCACGGTACTAAACGGTTTCACTCATATGTTGTTATGCATGCGTCACTAAGTTGTTTAATCTTCCAACAAACTATTTCCTGCGTGGACAGCAAAGTAAATAATAAATTTACTTCGTTTTATAACCCCCAATGTAACCAGAGAAGTCTGTGGTGTTTGATATTGGAAATGTAATCTGTCAGTCTAACGCACTCAACCAATTTTCGGTATTTCGTATTTGTCGGATTGATTTTCTATAATCTGGCTCTATACTACATAAAAAAGATCGCTGAAAGGCTCAAAATGTCAATCGCCTGTTTCGATATCTTGTTTGAAGTTAAACCGAGTTTACTTGGGCGTGAACACGGAATAAACTGGCATATAGGCGCGTGCGAGCACTGCGAGCCGGAAATCGTAGTCGTCGACGAACCATCATCGTGTCGTTGGATTGGCCCGTAACGCGGGGCCCTATATCCGCCGCGAAATGGAACGTGATTCCACTTCCAATATAGGCAGTGGGATGCAGCCCTACACACACGAAGCAAGATTTGAACCATGTGAATTGGCAATCCTGAAAACATTAGCAAAATGGAGTGTATCGCATCCAATCTACCGCATATTTTGAATCTGTAGGTAGATACATAACACAATTTGAATACGGCTCGTAAATCATAGAGTTCTCAAATACTTCAAACGTATTATAACGTCGATAGGTCTTTTCAAACATAATCGATAGCGAAGATATGAGATCGCGCGAAACTAAGTTTATGATTTATTGGATCCACCTTTACGAGGTTCGGGTAAACAAAGATTCAAAGGGTGTGGTATAAATAGACAATTTGATTTATTCTAGGGACATTACGTTACATTTTATAAATTTTCTTTTAAAAATACATTATGATAAAACAATAAATATATTTAAGAGTCGTGATATGAAAACGCTGCTGAATAAGATTAATGGTTGTGGTTGATTTATGAGAAATTTATATGAATGTTTCTGTATCCACTTAATAGATTTCAGCGATGAACTGTGCTATGGCCGTTAATGTAACGTATAGATAGAGTAACTATGCAATGGTTTAGCGTCACGTACTACTCGAATAATGGGCAAACAGCTGACATCACCCATGATACACACCGCACTAATCGCCACTAGAGCTCATGTTTAGTGCTAAGCTGTGACCTAGAACACATGCAAGATATGGTATCATTAACAGTTAACACGACATAATTTATGGACAGTCGGAGAACGTACAGAAGTTGGAAATGTTATAATTTATGTTACTACCTACTGATTGTAGTTAGTTTCGGTAGAAATGTATCAGACTTATGATATATTTGTTACAACTATGATTATGAGATTCAGTGCTTGTATTATATTATGCAAATATTATTTAGCCCCAGTTAGAACATAATCATTAAATTTTATGATAATAATAATTGGGATAAAGCTACGATCAGAGCAACAGTTTATGAAGATTATTGCTGTAACAAAATCATCAATAAAATCTCAACAGCAAAGCAAATAAAATAACAGTAAGATTTATATTTGGACAACATATTTATTGTCGCAAGCAGAAAGCGAGATTTCATTAAACGAAGGTAATTGTTAACAATTTGAAGCGTTGTGTTCAATGAATCCGAGTTGAAAAGACGACAGATGTTTCCTCTCGAGAAACTTTAGTTTTAAGTTTTCAGCTAAAAGAATTCTTCGGGAGCAGCGATGTGATCGATCTTTGTTCACATTTTTATGGAAAATTGTTCAACGATGGAGCTAAGACTAAGGTGGTGGAAGAAAATAGATACTCGAAACTGTCCAGACTTAAAATTAAGTCGTAACGTAACATTGTATTAAAATGTGTCCATAATTTAATATTTTTTTCTAAAAAACAAAATTTGAAATTATTAAACTAACTGTGACATTAAATCGACATACAATTTAAATACAGACACCTAATAAATAACTACATCTGTACGTTTAGAATTGACGTATATGAAATTTGAATAAGTTACAAAAGCATAAACAACTAAAATGTGGTTTGCGTGGAATGTCTAGGACACAATAAAATCCTTTCTCAGTTACATAAAATGTGGCGGAATCGTTGGGTGGACGTCGCACCATGTCACAAGCCGTCACTCCCTGAGAGAAGAAACATCCGAATTAAATTCCAGTTCTCGTCGCCAATGCGCGCATATTGCGGCTTACTAGCACAAGTTTTGCTAGAAGCAACAAAACTAGAAGGATTTCTAAAATTAGGTATATTATTTAGTTGTAGTGTGGCGCCTCGGCGCGACTCGTTATAAAGGAGAGCGGTCGTATCAAATTTTGCGTTAACGATGCGACACGTCTTAGTTGGTGAAACAATCGTGGAGCAGAAAAGCGAGTTATGGACATAGTGAAGGGAGAGGACAGACGAGTGCATTAAGATAAAGCGCGTTGGGCGGCAGCCAGAGCGTCTCAAGTGTCCGGCTGGTGCCAAGACGGGTAACCGTCAGACGCGAGGATGACTCCTTGCGGTTGGGATAAGTAATATTTTACTAACAACATTCAACTAAGAAAATTCAACATTTAACATTAAGCTGTATCTCTACATACCACAGACAACTTTAATATTTATTTGCGTAAAGAAAGTCCACACTTGAAATCTGTCTGTGTACTGTCTTCCCACTAACTTACCTACGTTGCAGAAACAGCTGGCTTCCAGTATAATTTTACAAAATCATCTTGAGCACAGTCAAGTGTTACTCTCTCATAAATTCAGAGTCGTATGTACTTACCTACAGCTAGTCGTAGATGGACGAATTTTAATTAAAGTCTCGGCGCAGTCAGCCTCATCTTATTAATAAAATATCAGATTCTTAAAACTAATGTACCGCGGTTTTGCATTAATAAATCTTGTGGCTATGTCGCTGCATGCTTGAATGAATTATACTTTATAATTAGGTTCCTGGAAGAGTACAGAAGTGTTACGCAAATGATAAACTGTGTAACATCCACGAACTGAACCAATTAGTGCGAAATTAGTATAGCAACTTAACGCAATAATTTACAGTTTTCTATGTAGTTAAACGCCGCGTGTAGAAAACCAATGATGAATAACAGAAAGACTAGGTAACTTCGATATCAATAAATGAAGTTTCCGAAAGCGCAATAAACCGTTGAACCCCTCCCGGGTCGACATAGAGTGGAAGTCAGCAGTTTCTTTGAAGCGCATCCTCACTTGGAGGACAATAATGAATTCAAGCCCGAGGTTGTGCGAGATGCGGGGTGCGCGGGACACGGGTGCCACAGCTTGCTTGTACGCTCCACTTTGCACTTCCTCTCTTATAAAGCGATTAATGACAGTGCGACCTTTGAGGAGACTGACGATCTAAATAAGAAGGAGATAAAATCCAATCAAGAAAACGACGTGCACAATGCCGCGCTAGCAATGGAATTCTGAACTTTCATCAAACACTTAGTTCAGTTATTTGTATTCTTGTTTCTATCTTTTATCGTAACCTGCATACAAATACCGATCTATAAACAGTTTCTGAGCTTAAAAGTAGTTTAAAACATGTACCAATAAACCTTAGATTTTTATGACACTAGCAGTAATAAGTGGAAACCTGAGCTCTCTACAGTTGGCATAAGGCATCATAAAAGTAAATATTGCGGAACACTACGAATTCAAGGATACCTCTTTTTCGCTTATGAACTATCAACGTAGTCATGTAAGGCTGGAGCTCGGGAAATATATTTCCTGGATTATAAACATATTCAAGGTAAAGCGTTGAGATAGGTAATACATAGGAGCAGACACAGTGAATAATATTTTGATGGAGAAGATACCTACATTGCAGTATTTATGTTTATTACAAAACGTGTTTTGAGGCGAAAGAACAATGTCATGGAAGATAGCTACCTTTATAAATGTCATTTAATTTGCAAAGAATACAGTATTCACAGTCTCTGAATAGATAATATGAATTTGTGCATATTATGCTCACTCATAAGTTCTTCTAAACGAGTACAAAACATATTTGTATGAAAGGACAAACGAGCAAAACTTTGGCGACAACAAAGAAAATAAATGGTAAGGTCAGGTGTAGAGCGAGGGAATCGAATAAAAACTGTTAGATAACAGCGTTTGTGCATTTCCACATTATCGAGTAAAATGGAATGTCGCCAACAATGCAATTAACTTTTTAAACGTTGGAAACTTAAAATAGATACCGAATGCGGTGATTTAGTTTCAGCATTTACTTTAATCTTTGAGTAACATTTGCAAGGCTGTTATTTCCCTTAGATGGTACTGCGCTGTGTGTAGCACTGAGTCCATTAGATGAGAGTGTTGTTGTACCATTAGTCGTGACTTGGCATCGAGTTAGCTTGCTAATGTGCAATCAAATAGCGCCGCTGACTGCCACTTAATTATGCGTACGCTCTATGAATTCTAATCGACCGTGTAATTATTACAACAATGTCTTGTTTCGCGAATGTTTAACAAAAATCTTATTCTATCGTTAACGATATCTCTCAACAGCACAAACAAACTCGAATAGATATTATGATCATTTAAACACATAACGGATTCCAACATCTGAACTGCGAATTACTTACGCAAAATAATTTCAGTCGGCAACAGTAGGTAACGCAAAAGTTTTCCCAGATTAAGACAGAATTTCCACTTTTATTTGTTTAATGAGCAAACATAAACAAGAACTTGTTCAAAGGGTGGAAATGTCTCCGCTTAACCGCCGCGACCCGGATTTCGTGCCAAATATTTATTTTAATTACATCTCGGTTCCTTCAAAGCCCAAGTTAAATGTCTCTACCACCTTCCACGCCAATATTTCAAAATTAATTTACGCATTTAACATTTCTCCCGTTTTAGTTTTCGCGTATTTTGTTTATAATTGTCGGCGCATTTTGTACTTTTTGTTGGCATTTCATAATGTAGCGAAAGGAAATGTTTAGTCACTGTAAAGAAAACTGTAGACATTCAACGATCGCTTGAATACACATTTGTTAAATGTAGTAAAAAGAAAATGGGACCGCGAAGAAATAGTTATCTGGGCAGACCATCGCTCAGGGAGTGCCTTTGGGAGTTACAGTAATATGAGTAGTTCGTAATGAGCTAGAGACCTAGTTAAAGCAAGAAGAAAAGAAAAAAACCTTTATGTGCATTCGTTTGGATGTATAATCGGAAGTGAACATTCAAAGCGAAGTTAATTAAAACTAACCGCGTGCCGCAGGGGACAATGGATGTGCGAGACAACAAAGCGAAGGGGCGTCATAACTGCTGTCAGCTACAACCACTAAATAGGAGCTTAGATTACTTCTCAATGAGTTCAGCAGTGCCAGACTTGACTGGAAAACGGAGAGGTTCTGAAAATCGAACTGACAGTAATTGTACTCGCTTGGTTGAGATAAAGATATGGAATCTCGCAACCCGCCTTTATACAAACTAAGCTCAAAATTAAATATTTGTATATTTCCTTTAGGCGCTATGGTTGGCGCCACTATTTGTATAGTCGATATCTCCTTACAGATTAACATCATTCGAGTTAATGAGTCAAAGTTACAAGAAACGACAAATAAATATTGATATTCCAACTACAGTAAGATACAAAGTGACACCTCTGTCTTTGTTGTGTAAGGAATTATATTAAGACAGGTAGGTATCCAACATTTTACTCACTATATTCATTAAAAACTAATTAGCGAAAATTAAAAACTTTATAAAAGAAATCGCGAGGGGACATCTGGCGATGACACCAAACGATGAAATTCTTACGGTTGCAAGGGCGCAAACTAAGAAAACACATCTGCGCATAAATTCAGAACACGTCCGGCTATATAAATTCATAACTTCGGAACGAACCGGAGACAGACGGTACGCTGGGGCCTCTACGAATTTATTAAATAAATTAATTGAGCCAAAACGAACATAACTGCTTGGATATTGAACAAACAGTTGTAAGATGTGACACCAAAAATGAAAGCAGCATTAGAAATAATCGTAAAATACTTAAGGGTGTTTTAATGGGTATAAAAAGATTCATCGTTACTGTACAATATAAATAAGGTACCTATTAAAATTATTAAATACAGTTACTATTGCATACTCCGACCCAATTACACGCACGTTAAGTATATCAACAAACATTTGTGCCGTAGGTGAGGCATCTACTCTCTTCTCAATAAACCTCCGGCTGAGTGCATAACGTGGCGAGATTACTTATAGCCCCCGGACCAGACCAAACAACAATATTTGTTGGTCCCAGACACTAGATTAATTTTTCCTGGGGCATTTTACTCAACGCTACGTTTACCCATGAAAACGTTCGGGAAAATAAACCATCAAGATGAACTCGATTTTTTTTTATTGCTATCCACATAAGTAACTATTTTAATTGGAGACTATTTAGGTACGATATTAGAAACTTTTTCATTAGCGTGAGACCCAAATAAAAATGTAAAAGACATTTAATATATTCAACGTTATTTTTTCGCCGGCGGCCATTTTGTACCTTTCATGTTCGTTTGTGAAAACTTTAGCAGAATTTAACTTTTCTATTTGTATTGTAGGCAACGCTTCCAACAGGTTGTAGCCATGTTGTTAGTTACTTCCGTAATTATTATAACAGAAACCAAACAATGGAACGCTGCAAAATACTGTCTCTACATAAGTTCAAGTATTGTTTTCTCCTTTTTAATGTGGCTTTTTAATACTGAGAGAACAAAGGGCTTTATTAATTCCATAAAATTTTCGTAACAAAGATTTCTGAAGTGGAAACGTACTTTTAGGGACAATAACCGCAATGTTCTGTCGTAACTTAAATCTTTTTTAATGTAAATCCTAATTAAAACTTCATAGTACAAAACATAATTATGTAAGTCGAGGTTTGTATAAAAAATGCCGTGCTTTACTGTAAAATGGGAGACCACCGTTAATCCACTTGGTTCTAAGTCGATTAACTTGTTTGTATTAGATCTTTTCTCTGTAAGTAGAAAACCTTTGTTTCCATGTGAACAAAGTTCTTAAAAATGTATAGGACCTACATCGCAATAAAACATGGAAAGAAACCGAACCACATTACAGGAAAATACAAGAAGACAAAACGAAACTAAGTAACCCCCATCATCCTACAGCCACAAGATGTCCACTAGTGAACAATAGGCCATCTCGACCTTCAGATCGACCGGTTGGCAGCGGTGTGCTACCAGTAACTCCCTGTACCTTTATCAAATCCTATAGCACTTTATATGATAACAACAAAATGTTGAAATTACTTAGAATAAAATAGTTAATGTTTGTAAAGATATAATGCATAGTGCCCGTGTAAGGGAAGAGTAAGAAATAAAGTTTTACAAAATCCTTTGTAAGTTTCACCCTATAAGCTACACACAAGGACCTATCATATGCTAGAACGAGCA